CTAGCCGAGTGGTTAGCGTGTCAAACTTCCATTCTAAACTGTCGCGGTTCGACTCCCGCTGAGGGTGTTGACAAGACCAGTTTATGCGAGGTCGAAACTGCAGTCCACTGGTGCCTGGATGAGAACAACTTTTGGGAAAGCAAGGCTATGTGAAATCAATGGAAACGTCAACTCAACTCATATCATTGTGGGAAAATTCTGCTTCTACCAGTCCTTCATCCCCTCAGACGAAATAGGGTGAATACATGTCATTATACTGATTTACTGGTAGTCTCGAAACTCTACTCTCATACAAAAACGGTAAGGCTAGCTTGCCAAGTCATAATAGTGAGAGGTAAGCATGATTGACTCTTGCGAAGACCTCCAGCTCGAAGGAAAGAGATAATTTCATAGTAGTGGTTACGCTTTCATCTGGTCTGGGCTATAGATAGAATTAATAATGAGAGTCTAGAATTAGTCACATATGTGTACATATCTTTACTTATCATCACACACAAGATCCTCGGCTTAAAAACCCGACAAAAGGGGCAAAAAGGACCTACTTCATACATTTGGCTTCTTGCCTCAACTCTTGCCCATCACACCCCCTTGAGGAAATAACATTAAATTACATACAAACCGATACAGTCATAGTCAGGCCTAAGCATACAATTAGACATAGCCGAAATAGGCTTTGGGTCTTTGGCTTTTTTTTGGTGTGTGTGTGTGTGTATATATATATATATAAGGTTACCTTTGCCTTAATAAACATACAAAGCCAGATATCAACATTCCTCGCAGTGTCTGCGCCTACTCCGGACTAGTAAGGCTTCTCTCGACGGCTCTTGCCAGCCCAGGAGATCCGTGGCCCGGACGACGAGCTAATTAGAGGCAGATTGAGAGCGATTGGGGTCATCCAAGTGCGAGCGCTTGAAGGTAGTCAGGAAAAAACAATACAGCTATCACTCTGGCCACCCCTCGTTCAACCACCACGCCACTCATGCATGGCATTATCAAATCTCTCCTTTCACGCCTTCACTTGGGGCTCGGACAGATTGCACAAGCCCAACACGACCGCGATTTGCTGAGCCCACCCAACACTCTGACCCCTGACTGTCCGCATCCGTAGGCCCTCTGGTCCGTTTGAGCCAGAGGTTCTACGGTGAATCGAGATCATTGGATAGAGAGGTCGAGTAAAGCTGGCTACAGGCCGGAAAGAGGTGGGCTTAATGAAGTCCCTACAAATCCGGTCACGCATGCACATGAGCCTGCATACCTGACCAGGTCGAGAGGATGTTTGCTTGGTCTAATTAAGGCAAAGTAGCCGGTTGGATACGTTGCAACAACTGGCAGGATCTATTGGCGGTCGGTTGTTAGTCTACACGATCGGCCAGATTGAAAGCGCGCTGGGGCTCTGGGCTAGAGACCGGTCAGCAGGTTAGTCTGCGAATTCGACCCGCAAATCAGACTAAAGGCTGGCACTTCTCTGTCATCTTCAGGCCTATCACAAACTCTGTTCTGAAGGTATTCCCTTCGTTCTGACCATCGGACGGCTCCAGTCCGGTGTTCACTCCCTTGAAGGGTCTTGGACAACACCGAAAGCATTCGAATTTCATTATAAAATGCGGAGGAAATTTGGGATACAAGCAAGCTCTTGCTGCATAACTGTTGAGCTTACTTCTATTTCGAGTGAAATGTTCAATTAAGAGGTTCGAAGGTCAATCCCATCAGGAGACGACAGCGGCTTCTTCTTGACCACCTGTCGATTGGCTTAACTGGAAAATATGCGAAGAAAAGTTTCGAGGAATCTCTTGTTTCATAATTGTTGTGCTTGCTTCCATTTGGTGAAAAGATTCGAAGGTCGATTCCACTGGAAGACGACGGCGGATTCCTCTTGACCAGCTGTTGATTGGCTTTACTGGAACATTCATGCTGACGCCATTTCCGAGGCAATCTCTTTCGATTCCGGCGAAAAGGTGCTAAGCTTTTGTCCGTCATATGACGAACATTATCAGAGTATTATCGTCAGGTATTATCGTCGCAACCAAATTCAAGCTAACGAGTCAAGACGGACGAAGGCTTAGCATCTTTTCACCGGAATCGAAGAGGATTGCCTCGGAAAAAGCGTCAATAAGAATGTTTCAGTAAAGCCAATCGACAGCTGGTTAAGAGGAATCTGCCGTCGTCTTCTGGTAGAACTGACCTTCGAATCTCTTCTCCAAACACTTTCACTCGAATTAGAAGTAAGTACAACAACAGTCTTGTTGATTTGCCAGTGAGTTTTCTTAACTCGTTAGCTTGAATTTGGTTGTGGCGATGATACCATGCTTTGATGATGTTTATCATGTGACGAATAAAAAGCTTAGCATTTTTTTTACCGGAACCAAATAAAACTACCTCGGAAACGGCGTCAATAAGAATGTTTCAGTAAAGCCAATCGACGGCTAGTCAAGAAGAAACCGCTGTCGTCTTCACCAAAAACTTTCACTAGAAATAGAAATAGACTTCACTATTAAATTGTTGTGCTTACTTACATTTCGAGTGAAATTGTTGGGTGACGAGATTCCAGGTTCGATTCCACCAGAAGACGACGGCGGATTCCTCTTGATCAGCCTTCGATTGGCTTTACTGAAACATTCTTGTTGACGTTGTTTCCGAAGTAGTTTCTTTCGATTCCGGTGAAAAAGTGCTAAGCTTTTTATTCGTCATATGATCAACGTCATCAGAGCATGGTATCATCGTCACAACCAAATTCAAGCTAACGAGTCAAGAAAACTCACCGGGAAATCCCTAAAAAATGGTATATATCCTCTACATCTTGCCTCTTTGATCAAGTATCAAGTTATTTGGTTCGTTGCGGTCATATGTTAACTTCGAAGTCTGTGAGTGTGTCTGTCCCTGTATTTGCATGTGCCTGTTTGTGTTTGCTTATTCACGAAACCCGCAGTGATGGCCCAAAGTAATGAGGACAGCAAAAGTAACGTCTGTTTTCGGCCATCAAGGTTTGATAACAACTATCTCCCCCTTTCTACCCAACTTTTCTTCGCATATATTCATTATTAAAGTCTTCTTCTTCCTATTAAAGTAGGTTTTCGAGTAGATCATATACATTTATATGAGATGTATTCACCGTATTACATTAAGAAGGCTTACTTTTCATTTTCACAACAGCCTGCCTGTCTAGTTGCCTAAACACCTGCCCATCCGTCCGGGCAGCAATTGGAGGACAGTTGGGTGTTGCACCAACACTTGCTCGTCGTCACTGCTTTCCTATTCCCACCTCTTATTCCCCTTGCTCCGCCCTACAAAACGCCCCCATCGCTCATCCACCTTCGCTTCTTGCTACTGTTTAATTTTCCTTCTACCTGCCCTCCTTTGCTGTTTCTTGCCATGCTATTTCACTTTGTCTGGGTTAAGTCATGCGAAACTGGCTTGTTCATCGCCCCGGTTTCCCAGTGCGTGTGAGGGCTTGCGAGGGCTGGAAGATTACGACGTGAAATAGGTAGAACGAGAATGAGTGTGTTGCGGGAGCAGCCGGTATGAGAATGGCAACCTATAGAGCATGGGCTTGGCCAAGGTTCACAAACTGCAGGAGAATTAGAGGGAGATTTCGACAAGGCAGGTGAGTGGTTGGGCAAGCGTAATGGGCAAGTCGGGATTTCAAGTGGACAGGACGAAATGGTCTTATCTGATGCAGCCAGCGGACTGAGTCAACAACGGGTGAAACATTCAGTTCGTATGCCTTGTCAGTGATGCTGAAGTTCATGGTTCTGATCACAATGACAGCGGTTTTGTGGTGCCTGTCTCAATTTATCTCACAAAAGAGTTGAAACCAATCACTCAGGCTACCAAAAGTCCATTTGCAGCCATACACGCTTCATGGTTTGTATTGTAAACAATGATCTGACGCATTCTGATGCTTTTTGAGTGCCCAGTCTTATTCATCGCAAGGCATGAAGCCCTGTTTCTGAAAGAGCAGCAAAGTCGGAATTCGGTAGTTGAGATGGTTGCTATTATTTCTCGCTCACACACACACACATGTGCATTCACACTTGTCTATTCCGTAGGCTAAAGCTAGGTCTTCCGTGTAGTAGAATTGCCAAAAGTATATCCGTTGCAAGATGACTTTCCGCACTCATACAGGAAGTGTTTGGAAGGCGATGACAAACGTTGGACAGCAAAGAATTTCTTTTTCTATTTCCGGTATCCTTACACTGTTAATCATAGTCGGCCATAGTCTATCTCTGGCGTAGTTGTGAGACAAGGTTCACTGCTGCCAGTGTTGTTTGTGGTTAGCCTCTTTATAAAAATAGATCCAAGTCAATTTTAGATAACTCTTCTCGAAAATGAATACTCCAAGGCTGTGTGTGTATGTGTGTCCAAGAGAACTGGAGTTTTTTATATCGATACAGACGATTTTTCTTGAAGGATTCTGCACAGATGCTGTTGCATTGTTCTGAAGATGTACACGACTACGTGCAAATTCAGTTGATTATTAGACCTAGTACCTGCTGAGCACCAGTGGCCTGCATGGAAGTGAAGTGAACGGGGATTTGATGACGCAGCTGAAATATTTGGGTTCACGTTGAGATTGGAATATTATCTTTAGAAAAGACGGAGAGAACTATTGAGTCACCATTTCACATGCGAAGCTAGTTTCGCCTGCAAATTTTTCCGAGTAACTAAGCCTCTTTTCGACATGTTGATCCTATCCCGCAATCTGATCCACATTAGAATGTAATAATTGCGTGAGATCTAGGCTGAAACAGCATTTTCAATAATTTCATAATCGAGAGGCTCGAAGATCGGATCCTTGCCAGTGAACGTAATTTATCGTAGAGCTTTTAAGTGTACCTTCTTTATATTGTTGCCCAATCACTCTGGGGTTATGAAATCTTGCTTAACAGCCAGTAACCCGTCAAGAAGTAATGACAAAACGCATACAAGTCCAAAATGCAGTCCGGCCTAGATTCGGACGTCCTTTGGAAATGGATGTGACCAGGTGAATCACTGGAAAGATCAAGTCGCCATATAAAAGCCTCATGACTACAATGAAGTTCACATATACTTGATCCCAAAAAGTATTCACCTCCAGAATTAATTTCCGTTTGGAACTCGCTCAAACTGGTCTCATCAGCATCCCCAGCGGGACTTGAAGTCTAGTATAGTTTCTAAATGTTAACCACTACACCAGACAAGTAGCAGCGAGTGCCCTCGGCTCGCAGGGCAGAAGCAATTGTCCAATATTACAATTATGTGGTCGGATTGTTGACAAAACCAGGTTACATTTACTGTAGCAATCGACTGCGTTACATATTCTAAGTTTTTAAGTAGGTTTTCGAGAATAAGAGTATATCTGATATAAGAGATGTATTCACAAAATGCCAACAACAATAATCAACTTCGGTTGTAAATACCTTTTGGGAAGCAAGGCTATGTTAAATTTAAAGGAAGCATGAGGCCTACTCATGTGATTATGGTAAAATTCAAATACCAGTCCTTCATCACCTTAAGTTAAATATAAGGAATACAGCTTAAATATCAGATCTACTGGTGGTACCTAAAACCTACTTATCAACTGGAAATCACACCTTCTATTCAACCTATCCTCAGGGCGCATCCTGCCCGAGGTCATCTTCTACAGTATTAATGATAATTCCCAAGGTTGCATGATGGACTTGGCACATTCCCATACATTTCGCTGGCAGTTTAGACGGCCTCATTGGTATTGCCCGTCTCAGCAACAAACTGTAAATCATCAATAAAACTTGCTGAGTACGATGCTGGCGAGATTTCTGGGAATGTGCCAAGTCCACGGTTTAACACTAGGAATAATCATTACTACTATGGAAGAGGACTTCTGACAAGGTGCGTCCAACAAAGTATGTCCCTGTTCCGGACAAAGAACCTCGCAGTGCATTTTAGGTAGGACAGTCAGCAAGTCAAATATAAGAGAACGAGTATGAAAGATATCCAAGGGTGATTAAGATAGCATAGAAT